GCAGCGCCTACATGCAGCATCAGAAATCACATTAAATGTATATTGACATTGTATGTGTTGACTTACGAGTAAACATTTTAGGTCTGATTAATTGAAGAAATGTTATAGGCTATGGCTCGCACGGAAATGCAATTGAAAATATGTATATTTTATGGCTCTCTTGACCAAAAAGGTTCCCGACCCCTGATCTACATAAAAAAAATTTAGGTTGGCATAAATTGTCAAAATAATCCAATCATTGTACATTTTCAAAATATAAATTATAGTGAATATCGACATACCAACCTGTACAAGGGTTGACCTTCCAGACTGAAGACGATGAGCTTAGCACTGCAGTTTTCAACCTTTTGGGTGGAGTAATAACCCCACGTAACATTTCAGGGAATTGCACAAACTTTAAATCAGCAAACATGATACTAGCGAAAGAAATATTCTTTGAAGTTTAATAATAGTGGCAAATTAATATTTAATTTTAGCTGAACAATAATAATGATGTAGACTCTCGGATTTGAAACTACTGGAAGTCCCGGACTGTAATGGCGGAACCCCGGCTAAACAACACTGCTCTATATCTTCTCTGCCAAACTATTATATCAGCGTTTAGGCCTACAAATTACGTTTTTTAATGGGGGGGGCTACCTTCGAGGATGTTTGTGAAGTGAATGCTGCAACACGTGTTTTATCTTCTGTCCAATACATAAATTTCAGTACCTGATACAATTATTTTGTTTGTACTCGCGTTACTTGCTAATCTCCCAATGTTATTTACGGCATCAAATACCTACAACTCGACACTTCAAAAGTCCAGGTTACAGAAATTTCATTTGTAAACGACAGGAAAGTCGCATTGCATGAAATCATAATTTTGATTTACTGAAGTCCATATTTTCTTATGACGTTGAAACGGTCGCCGATGGGTTACAGGTCGAACTCATAGATCTCCAATGATTTGAAGAGTCATTTGAAGTGAAGCTATTGATTAGGTTTTATGATTCCCTCCAACCAGAGAAAATCGAAATTTGGCAAGAAAAATATTTGTGGTATTCCGTATTCGCATCAAAATTCATATGCGAGCAAATCTTTCTCAAGTATGAAGATTAACAAAAATCAAAAACAGATCTTTATTAACGGAGTCAAACCTACAAGCTGTCTTAGAAGTCAGCACGAGCAACTTTGTGGCGGTTTTAATTAAACAAGCTTTTGGACGCACGAAGTATAGGCTACATCAGTCCCATTGATCATTGTGCCATTAGGTACACCTGCTGTTTGTTGTAGGCTACCTTAGGTGTTACGCTAGTTTTTTGTAAATAAACTGTTTTCTTTATTCACAATTCGACCCAGTAACCAAGTCTATTAACTGTAACTGACAAACTCAGGAATGTAATTGTCCATCTCTGGTATAGCGTCTAGATCCGGCCCTGATGCCGATCTCATTATCACGATAATTTTCCTTTTCCATCTGATCTAGTAACTGCAGAATGTTTTGAATCTCGCCCACAAGAACACAGTGTCTTAGTAGCTTCTACACTAGTCCCAATGATCCGCCAATACATTATTACAAATTGAATATTAAACTAAATTCGCTGCTATAATTGCACTACAACCAACCCTAAGACAAAAGTGAAAGAAATGCGACATGATTCAAATTTAAATCGGAACCGTTGGGAGTTAGCACACCAGCTATTCCGGAATGAAGGTCATTAAATTGGCTTCTAAAATACCACCGCCGACAACCTAGGTACGACAACCTAAGTCCAAATGGCAATTTTTTTTTGCTAATCGGAAAAGCCTGTAGCTCGGGCCCATTGCAAAGAGCAAATTAAATTTACTGGTAGGATACGTGTACTTAAGAGCGTCATGTGTGTCACCTCATAAATTCAACTTACAAAAAACAGTTTTCTCATGGAATCATTGCAACAACCTGGGCTATGTCGTACCATTTAGACATAAAATCATATATATATAAATGTACATAAAATCATCTGCGTGCCAAACCGACTAATGAAAGCGACTATGTCGATGAAAAGAGTAAATCTTGGATAGAAAACTTCCAAACAACAGAAATTCTACCATCCCATGATAGATCCCGTATCTCGAGTATTACCTTTTATAATATTTTCTCATACCCCTACCATGCAGTTATACTGTTATATAACTCGAATGACCCGGTTTTTATGAATGATTCAATGAGCAAATTTAGTATAGCTCACAACAGCATTTATTATTTTGGAAAAGTCAAAATGAGTTAGATACTTGCAATCCGTAGCCTACACTCTCAATGTGAAGAGCTCTTACTATTACCTGATATCCCTAATCGTATTTTGGTTGTCAGATTATTATTTCTGCGTATTGTCCCTGTTGATTCGCGTTTGAGACATCGAATGTACGGTTACAACATCCATGGTTCATTTCATATAATTCGGTAATTTTGGCGCCATAAAATGTTTCTTTCCACTTATCGATCTTTATATCGGTAAGTATGTTGATAGGTATTTGTCTGTCTGTTAGATGCACGCGATATCTCAAGAAGGCGGGGTTGAATCTGCTCCAAATTTTGCATGTGCATTCATCATATCTCGGACAAGAAGCCTATTGATTTGATGAATTATGCCGTATAATTAGCGAGTTATCAATTAATTAGTGATGGGACACGCGGTGTCACTAGTCATGAATCGAAACCGCAGTTTCGATCGATAAGTCTTCGGTCTCCGATCAATATTCTCGTTTTTCTATTATTGTGATTTTTTTCGATTTCTCATGTTTTTCGTTTCTTGTGCTTTGTGACGTGTGGTGACGCAGACGCGTAAATTCGTTAGAAATCATAAATTTGATTTCAATAGTCTGTTATCTATGATATGACGATATATTTGCATACATTTATATCTTAAAGAAAGCGTATTGTTGTTTTCAAAAATGTTTGCGGGCATTTATTATGCAACATTTCCGAGAAATGCAGACGTCTGGCATTAATCATCTTCGTATGTTGCCTTTATTTTCCGTGTTTCACGTCCCATTCTCATTGTGTTTCCAATACTTTAAATTAGAATTTATGTTCAACCATTTGTTGTGCTCATACACATGGTTAGAGAATGCGTTTTCGATAATGTTTTATGATATTGATCATGATCAATTATTATAAAAAAAACTCATGATCTATTTTCTAAGATTTATCTGTATGACTGTATATATATTCTATTTTAACCGTTCTATCAATAATAGTAGTTTATTGCTGTAATTTTTGCATGTGATTCTCAAATTCAATTCAGTCTAAGCACGGTGAACATACTCTAGTAATCATGTAACTAAACAATATTCGTGATTAAAATGTTTGTGGTTCAAACGATTATTTGTATCTCTACATACAGGGTGTCTCAAAAGTAAGTATACACTTTTAATTTTGGTTTGCTGTTCAGGTACTCATCATAGAGCGTTCATTTCTTCCGAAAACATAGTATGGATGAGTAGTAAAATTTAGATATTGTTTGCATTTTTATCATCCCACAGAATGACAAGAAGATTAACCCAAAAAATGAGGTGCACAACGAGGTACGAAATACAATTCAGGTGCTGGTGTGATGTAAAAATATACAGTTCTATCGATTTGAACTCATGCCTTCTAATGAAAAACTGTGCGCCAGTCTTCAAATAAACTTCTGACGCCTGTTGCGTTGCCTGAGTTCATCAATGACACCAGTACGATTTAGTGCATACAAACAAAACACGGCCGTTTGGCAGTTTTTACATATATATTGTGGATAGCAAGTAATATTTGAAGGCGAAATCCTTATACGCAGTGCTTGTATTATCCTGGAAGCAAAAATAAGGACGACGGTAAAACGAGTTGCTCTAAGTACAGTTATCACGACAAAAAAGCTCCTGCAACAATTTCTCATTGTTCGAACTATTTTAAACAGAGCTGCCCAAGCCAAAATTCAAGTTTGCTTGCGAGATGGATTACGACTGTTTTGGCTGAATAAATAATCAAAATAAAAAGGAAAGAAGGCACGTTGCTCAGGTAATCCGTTGGCGGAAAAAAGCATGGTTTGAGAAATGAACCCGAACTAATGACTAGAACTGGGATTTTTAGTATACAGCAATATTCAATTTTAGAGACATCGTTACCTGTGAACTCTGTCGTGATTATCTTATTGATAAAACGTAAGAGCGAAGCTCAAAACTGAGAACAAATCTTTAAAGCATGGGCAATTTGTAACGACAATTTGTTTTGTAAGACACAGTCCTGAAATATTGACAAATCTCAAAAATAACCTAGGAAATAGCAAATGCTATCGCCTTTGCTACTTTGGGAAATAGTTGTATAATGCAATACATCAGTAACAAATACGCGTACTGGGGGGCGATAAACATTTTTGTATAGTCATTGATCATATCCAGTATCCGAAATATGGAACCAACTAGTTGTTGCTTCTGTATTACTGTCTAGTGTACATTCGTTGTATCATCAAGTCTTGTAAGCAGGTTGTTGAATGCTTCATCATCGCGTAACAACACGTATATATATGGAAATATAGCGATTCCCGTATTCACAGATTATTACAGTTATTATGATGGCGTTGAAATCCAAAGTCACGGTTGGAAGAAGACGCAAATCTATTCGTGGGTACAAAGTCACGGTTGGAAGAAGACCCAAATCTAATCTTTTGTACAAAGCCCCCTCAAAATATGAAAATTACTAATAATTCAGGAATGCACTGGAAATTCATTTCTAACCCCAACTGGATAATTACTAATTTGTTATTCAAAAACGTGGCAGGGGTGTTTTTCTCAAATCTCACAATTTTGCATTAGGGGCTCTGCACAAAAGATCCATCATTTATTCTAACCTGCAGGCCGCAGGATAAGGTTTCAAGTGAAATTAGAAATTGGTCATAGATTGCAGAACTTGGTACAAATGATTTTTAGTCGTTTTCGAGAGCTCGTGGGACCTTCATATTGAATGAAATATTTGATCGTATGCATGCGTTTGATTGACTTCCCGGAAAAATGACTGCTGACTATCATACCGAAACAGCGGAACGAATGTGCGAGATTTCAGACGTTTTGTTTTGACCAAAATATCCATACAGTTAACACATATGACAGACGGATATCTTCCTGTCGTTATCTGGTGGATTTAATTGCATGACCAGCAGAGATAAGGGGAGTCAAAATGTTCAGGATCCAAATCCATTCTAATCCGAAATCGGAATTCAAATCGAAATCCAAGTGAGTCCATTCTAATAGACTAGGCCTCTTATCGTCTAAATCCGTTCCCGCTCATCAGAATAATCTCATCCTAACGCTGTAGCTCAAAATATTGAGATACCGGTACCGCCTTTTCACATACAATTAACACTAATAAGTCCGTGTACTGATCTAAATGATCCCCACATACCTATAGGCATTAGTGCCTACACATGTTGTAAAAATCGTGTGCCACGCACGATTACATTTTAGAGTGGGAGAGGACGTGTTACAGAGTTGAGACTATACTTCACAATGGTGACAGCACATTTGAACCCATACATTTGCACCCGTATATCCGCGGGTTTAATCTATATGCGGGTGCTAAAATTCATGGGTTGGGGTTAGTATGGGTTCAAATGTCCGTAGGTGCAAATTTCCATAAGTGCAATAGTATGCAGGTGCAATTGTCGTGGGTTCAAATGTAATGGAATCCTTCACAATATAACTACATGGACTGTGAATTCAAAACAAATAATACAATTTAAACTTAATATGCATGTGACATGTAGGAAATTACAAATTAAGATTGACTCTTAGTAACTAAAGGTATTCATCCTCAAGGTCCGCTCCTGCTTGTCAAAAAACCGAACGGAATCCTATATCCTGTTAGTACGGTGTCAAAACGCAATACTGGTGAAATAGAAAATTAATATTCGTTGCGGACTCAAACCGAGTGAGCAAAAGAGGGTAGTTTCAAAATACAACACTATTAGCTAAGCAAGCGATTGAAGCAGTATATCTTTGCAGAGTAACATTATATTTTGCACGAAAGCTATACTGCTTTGAAAGATATTATCTTGAAATTTGACGAAGTCACTTAATATTTTAGGACAACATTAAACGAGGTACATAAGGAAGACGCGATTTGTAAGTGTTGGTATGTGTATAATCATTGTGCGATTTTGACTGGCTAGTTTTTCAACAACACACTACGTAATGCCCGTAAATAACGTAATACAAACTTGAAACATATTTGGGTGCATTCAGATTTTCATCGTTTTGGGCATTACAATAAGACTTTGACGGTCACATCTTTATTTCTGTTCCAGTGAAAAAAAATTGCCGTTCTGCCAATGGCTTCATTTTTTTTAAAAGAGTGTAATATCCATTCATTATATATATAGCCTATAATAGAGGTATACTGCTACCATCTCTGTCTGCACGATACTATGTCAGTTTTGAAAGAGTTTGTAGGGTAGTTAGGACGTTTTGAAATACTGTAATGGTTTTAAGCTTTCAACTTCAATGACTCAAAAGCAAACTCGAGCGTTTATTTACGAAGCGGTTCTTCGTGAAATAGTGTTCGTCCGCCGATCAATATAATTCACCAATCACAAAGCAGACGCCCACTAAACGCCACTTTTGCGGTTCTATGTTCCCGAAAGATACGGTACATATTTTGATTTTATCAATCATTTGTAATATAAGAGAAGGTTGTGAATATCAAACAGTTATAACCGACATATATTTGTATTCATGTACTAACTAAGCATTTCCCATAGATAATTACATCATTAATAAGACAAGACAAGAGAGCAATGATCAAATATATGGACACGAAGACCAAAACGAAACATTTTAGCATCAATTTCCCGAAAATCATTCGGTTTCCTGAACGAAGCTATACTGCAGAACAGCTACAGCAACTTACCAGTAGCTGTATCAAGGTATCGGTAATGGTAACCAGACTGTCCTAGCTTTTCCAGGTCTTTTGACGATGATTCATGCTTCCAGTATCAACGTGAATTGAAATACCAAATTATACGAGTCACTACTGTAATATCAGATCCGCTATCGTAGTCTACCGTAACCAATAAGAAGACTTTCGCTAAAAACGATTTTTTCACAACAACAAGAAAAAGTAAAATACTAAATACAACAACAACATAATCACAAAACGATTCATGGGGTACAATTCGTCTACAATAAAAGGTTTTAAATCCAAAGCGTTTTTGCATATTTTTTTAACGGCGGGAATACCCTGATTTTTATTTCATAATATTTGGAATAACTTAACAGTCTGTGAACACTTGTACATCCCGATGTAGCACAATTTCCAAAATGCTGCGTCCGCAAATAGTACCATAATTGGAGGAACGCAACTCATTGTGTATCGTATAGCATCAAAAAATAGGGGAATTCCGTTTATAATTTTGAATTTGTATCGTTTTGTCGTTGTTAAATCAAATTTTGCTAAAACGAATATATAGCAATCAGTCGTTTCATTACCTTACAGTTTACACAAATTAGACGACAATGAAATTGGTATGAGTAAAGCTATATGTTCCTTTGATTTGTTAGATTTCAATGCAGTAACTATAATGGCGGCATTGAACCGGTGTTTGATCTTTTGTCCAAATAAGAATTCAAAGTATTGTTAGATATTTTTGTAGCAAGCGTCTGAACATAGTATAACACATATCGGGGTTTCGGGCCAAGTTGCTTCAAACTGTTGTTCTCTGATTTAAACAGTTATGGAGATTGAGAGAACTCACCTTGAAAAATAACGTTCACAGGCATTGACGTTTCAAACTATATTTTTAAGTTTATTATCAGCAATCGCTGGTTATTAAAATTGATTGTTACCTATATTAACCATTGCTAGAACAGTAATCTATATTACATAAACGTTTTATTCTTTTCCTGAAAACTTGTTTTGTCTGTCAAATCTTTTTTCCTCTAATATTCCGCCGCGTGCATCTGCTCAAAAACATTTAAAATTAGTTATATCGTATCACCAAAGACTTTCTGGGTAATTAACTTAAAACCAGCGACAACTATATATGGTATCTATATTTCATGATATTTGGATAATGGCGATGTTGCGTATTCCTATGTCAGAGGTTTCCCTATTTGGCGTTTCGAACGTTATGTATTAGCGTGTCATGTTAATGCAGCTTACGTAGAGAGGTACATACATTTTATGGAATGAGATTCCTGTTTCAATGAGTCCGATACAAAAGAGAACCCGTTATTAAAATTTTGAATACCATTATTGATTATTGAACTCCAATTGCAGCAATTCTAGGTAATGCCATATTTCTCGAGCTGATAAAATGAGTGGCTCCTGATCAGAAATAGGAACAAATACTGATCATAGTTCTTCTTGTAGAATATAGGTGCTAAAGATATAAACCATATTTTTTTTTTAAATCCTATTTGGGAATCATGACTGGCAGATGTGCGTATTTTAATGCATATGCTCACTACTCAGGCGTTGGGAAGAATCCCATTTATTTATGAATTTCGTTGGGACATAAGTTTGAGGTAAGCTCATTACTTATCGATCTTGATCGGTAACTACGTTGATAGGTATTTGTCTGTCTGTCTGTTAGACACTTTAGTATGTTACGCGATATCTCACGAAAGCGAGGTTGAATCTGCTCCAAATTTTGCATGTGTATTCATCATATCTCGGACCAGATGCTTATTGATATTGGATGAATTATGTCGTATAATTAACGAGTTATTAATTAATTAGTGATGAAGAGATCTAGATTTTTGCAAAGCGAGAAAACTTGTATGACCTAGATTTTTGTGGCGAGAGCGCGCATGTGCTGAGTGTGTATGCGCCGCTAGGTCGATAAGTCGGCGGTCTCTGATCGCTATCTCGGTTTCTTATTTTTAGGAGATAGGTGTTTTGTAAACAAAAATAACAGTTTAAAGGAGTTTGCAGATTCTTAATTCGTATATATATCTAACATCTTCTTACCTTTATCATTATCATATATTACGTGGGCCACAATGCCGTCGGGTTGTCGTCTAATTGAAATCAACTCCTATCGTCGGCTGCTGCGTTCACGACACATATCCTATTGTTTCCATTGTTTCTCACGCATTGCTGTTTACATAATTCGTGATTTTCGCTCCTATAAATTTCATACAAATTCAGAAATCGGTATTTTTTTGTTTGACTCGCGACCATAAATTAATTGCAGACCCTTGCATTAGGTAATTGGATAGAATAGCACATTTTAGTCAAAAGTACGAAACATGTTCATATTTGATTAATTAAGACTACATAAACACGATGGTTGGAGACGATATTTGATTTGTAAACAACAACCGAAGATCCACCTGACTGATTAATAGCTCACTATCACGTTGTCTATAGTCATTTTTATAAATAGGTCGTTCAATTTCTTCTTTTTTGAATAACCTTATTATTTAATGCGGCGTTGGCAAATATTTACTTAACTATCCCTAGTTAATGTGTCGGTACAGACGTACATGCTAGGTGTGATGTTATATATGTATTCTAATCGAACTTGACTAAAACAGGTTAAAACACTAAATGGTAAGACGATGTCACGAACATAATTCATTACATTCGACTTCCCATGGTGAATTTAATTCCTATCACAGGAAAGAATTCATTTCACTCACTTATTGCTATCAGAATATTTTGCGATTTGTATAAAAAATCAGTTAAAACGTCCTACATATATTAAACAAGAACGGAGACATGAAAAAGGTTGTTTGATTTGATTTGAACCGCAAAACACAATATTAAACCACCTTCGGTAATAGGATCAGGGTCATCTATCTTCAATTTGAAAGTACATATTAAAATAAAATATGAAGTAAAGCTTAAGTAATATACTAAGCTTAGACGCTAAATTTATGTACTGTATTACAATTTCACGATTACGTATAGTACTTTCATTAGCGTACCAACTTATAGTGTGGATTTATACTTACTCGCTAATGCGGAATAAAGAATAGCTTAAAATTCAATGCTGTAAGGGAATATATGCAAACATATACACATCGAGATCTTGGGAATATTTTCTTCGATGACCGCGATAGCATGTGCTTACCTAAACATGCGATTTGCCGTGAATATATCGAGGAGGCTTACCATACGTCCCGTTTTAGGCGGGACAGTCCCACTTTTTAACGTTCTGTCCCGGCGTCCCGACTGGTCGGCCATAAGTCCCGATTTGGCGTTCAGCCAGTCAGCATAATACAAGAACAATAGCAATTGTCATGTTTTCGACACTGTTGTTGCTGTGTAGCGTACCGTTAGCCTATCTACTGAAGGTGGATGCGTGGTTTTGTTTGTTTCGTCGTTTTCCGCTAACAATGTTAGCGAATAATTGCTACAAGTTGTTACGTGTAAACCCCGTACGCCAAAAGGGTGCTTAAGGTTAACGTAAATTCCTTTCTATTTTTTCAAACTGAAACCGATATTTAGACAGACAGCGCATGAACTCTCGATGACAATATGGCCAAGAAAGATAGCCAAGATGGTTTTAAATGTAGGCCCCTAATGTAAAATCGATAAATTTAAAGTAGAAAAAGTCACAGCTTTGTCTTTGGAGGCGTCCCGCTTTGAGGTCACAAAAATATGGTAACCCTATATCGAAGGATAAAACAAGTGCACACATCGCGACGAGTGGTGATATTCACAAAATCTTGACTGCCATGCAAACAAATGCCCCATGCAAGTGAGGCTAACGTTAGATCCCAACGTATTCAGCTTCCAAAATTTTGCGGGATTTTAACAGGGAAAAGTCAGAAGTCAGAACACTCACTCAGAAGTAAAGAACATTTACACCGAAGCAAAGCCAAGATTGACAACAGAAATTCGTGCAGAAGTAGGGTGGCGCATTTCATGTCAGTAAATAACCCGGGTAACGGGGGACTTGAAGGAGTTCAAGTCAGTATGATATGATACGGAAAAAGCGTGTAGTGAATTACACGCAAATGAAGATATTTAAAAACAAAATTGACGTCTACCCAAAACGTGAACGTTGGGAATCAGAATATTGGAATGACACAAGATAACGACATCAGTTTTACAACTAAAAATGGCCATATTCAAAGAAGTGGTATACGCTAATGCCCATATTTTTCCAACTTAATATGACTCTGAGTACATATATTACACTCAAAGAATGATAAATAAAACTTAAGTCTTTAAAACCTGGAACCTATAATAATGAAAAGACGTTTATTTTCGTTATTGCTCTTCTAGTAGAATTCTTTTTTTTCAAAAGAACTAGGCCAGATATGGAAACAGCACTTTATAATCTCAAATAATAAAAAATAGTGTTTTGGAAAGTTAGTTAACATTATCAACTCAAATTTCGTCATTGTAGAAATACAGTGCGATTTTCACTATAATCGGACTAATTTCCCGTCGAGACGTCTCAGTGGTCTTGACAACAATCTGACGTAATAAAGCAACCCAGATAAGACCATGACGTCATGTTACGTTCGCACGCGAGTTGAGGCAGCTGGCTCGTGGAATTGTTAAACTTTTGGTATGAAATATCAACTATTGTCTATTATTCATAGATATTTGGTACTGAATGACTTATGATAAAAATAAATCATTTCGAAATTTGGTACTACAGCTTTCGATCTTGTAAGAACAAGCCTGATTGTTGTATATGATTGAGCATTGTTATTTATTTTGTGAAAAATCGTGCACTTACGAAAGTCTAATCTTGCGATTTGGCGCGAAAACAATTTATTGAAAACAAGATATGACCGATGATTCACGGGAAAATTTCCTCAAAATATGTGGGTGTGTTAGAGGATGAATTAAAAAGTTAAAGAGATCACAACGATATTTCATATAATTTCGTCACATACCAGAATAGAACCTTTAAATTAATTGGATGATACAATGAAGGAGTTTCCTGTATTCATAGCTTAAGTTTCCTAATGCTAACAGATGAAAACGTATGTTGAAAGAAAGATCTTAAAATGACAGCCTCTCCAGTGATGTTTCATGATAATAATTTGAATTACCACATTCATATTTACGAGATATTCTAATTTCATTCTCATAAATATTACTTTTATGAAATAGACGTAATTTCGTATTAGTGTTTCCATTTGAAACTTTCGAGCATAGAAAATACGAAGTGCTGGTAAATAGTTACTAAACAGTGGAATACTGCGATTGACAAAAAAACATTACGCAGACTCAAGATTGACTGAGTCGTAGTTTCTCGTGTTTGGGATGCCCATGAGGAGATATACAGTATGTATGATGAGTATGACTATATTTATACCTCTGCGCGCAACAGGAAATAGAATGGAAAAATAATCAGACATCTTCCCTCCTTTTGTCAGGACTTTTATTCACCAGATCAAAGGATATTATTTATATATTAACGGTCATCGACCTTTTTGTGTCGCCTAGTCAAAAACAAGTGTATAAATTTGTCTGGGCCCTTTTTTGTGTCGCCTAGTCAAAGATAATTATATAAAATTGTATGGGCCAGCACTTTTGAGCATTTATGATGCTGGTTTAGTATTGAAAATGGTTTTTGTTTTCAATTCTCAAGAAGGTGGTTGAATACCAGAGTTATAAAGCACTATAGTACACCTACGGCTCTTTATAGGTATATTACAATGATAAAAATATCGTTTCATATTCAATAGGTAAACCTTCTTGTGTTATATAAAAAAAGCAATCTAAAACTGATATTTAATAAAATCTGTATACGTTGTGCTATTTGTGATACCGGCGTTGATGCGATTCTATTACGGACACCGGACTCATAAGCTAAGACGCATAAGTGCTAGAACGGAAACTTCGAAATAGCAAAACTGTGCAGTTTCTGTGCCATTATACCTAATGTCCCGACTAAAGCTCAAAGCCCCAATTAGCAAATCAATTTATCTGAATATATATCGCGACACACAATGTGGTATATTCATGCAACTTCGCCAATCATTGCATTTTCTTCTCGGATTTCGAAAACATTCCTGTTAAACACAATATACAAAATGACAACTAGAAATAATGTTCGAAGAAAATGTTTCTCTGATGTTTAAACTGGAACCATGGAAAATATCTGCACTCCACTCGTTAGTGTTTAGTTACTGCTCATACAACATTCAGTTCCAAAGCAAATGCAAAAATAAACTGAAAACTATCGCCATAACCGGCCTGTACTGGCCACCAAACGTGATTTGCCATGGGAGTTTCTATAGGAAACATTTCACCCACGAATTATAGACTGGTTCTGATGCCTCGAGGGGATGGGGTCGAAATGTTTATCAATTTATAAACTCAGAGCCATGATCTAGTTTTCTTGCTAGCTCATGCCTATATTTACGTATACACATCAAATAATCTACAGACACTGTGTTACAATATTAAATTGAAACATCATGCTTAAAATATGCAACGCTTCTTTTTCAGCTTCGTACTCCAAAATTACGAAACAAAGCTACCTTCACATTGTAACATCGTGGATTCGTAGGGTATTCTGATCATCGGTCGCAGAATAAGCAATTCAAAGAAACAATTGTCTGTGCTATATCAACCCTATTATTTGCCATAAATCTGCTGGAATGTAAGTATCAATTACGTCATATAACTTTCGCTACAGAACCAAGAAATACACATGAATGTAGAGATATGTATACAAGGTCTACATTTTATTAACATTACAGGCAAAAATAAAAACTGCCATCAATTATACTACACACCGATGATTGTAACCCTCTGTCCATTGGGACGAACAAACACAAAACTGAAATATGAACAGTTATATTGTTGTCCCAATCGCCATTCAATTAACTAGCGCTTAAAATATTTTGAGGATTACTTTGAAATTAATTTCGATTCCATATGGCTCTATTCCTGAGGGAAGAAATATTTCAACCCTACCAATATATATGACAAAAAAAATTAGTAGGCCATTATTTATTACTGTCATTTCTGAGTGCTCATCGCAATTCTCCTAATAAAACTGAAGGCGCTAGGGCTAGAGCAGGGTCGTCCAACCCCGTGGCCCGCGGGCCACACATGGCCCGCCGAAGGTTTCCGAGTGGACCGCACGGTATTATTCGAATCCCAATGCCGTTCAAAAATCTGAGCCATCGTTTAAACTTCTAATAAAAAAATTGTCGTTCAAACGAGGAACACCACCTAGCTGTCGAAAGCTTCTTTTATGTCCATTTGTGGTAGTTATTGCTAGTGAGACATGTTTGAATTTATTTTTATCGTCTGCCATGTATTTCAATCTGTTTTCCTGTCTTTTTTCTGTGAAGCTAGAAGAGGCAGTTTTATGACCTCAATATTTGACAGCATTTACCTCTACGAGCAAGTTTTATCACGAATGAACGATGTAAAATCCCCCGTGAGACATTAATTTCTGACAGCCATGTGAAAAATCCGCTGCTACATCGTCTATTGCAGTGGTCGGCAACCTTTTTTAAATGACGGACAGGTAAAGCCTGACCAAAATTTTGGCGGACCACCTTTATACAAACGAACTAAGCTTACGTAGTAAATTATACGCATTAGAAAATTTATGTTGAAATCATCTTCAAAAACAGGGGTACCGGTGATGCTATTTAATGCGAGATCTGTATTTGTTTGCTCATTAACTGTTCCCAATTTGGAGATATAGTCGAAAGTGAAACACGTAATGTGTTTCTTACGTCCACCCTTTTTCGGTATTTCGATTCTGTAGTTGTAATTGTAAAGATCGAAAACCCGACCCACATAGAAAAGGTAACAACACTGTTTGTGAAGCTTCTCTTGCAATGCTTGAATATTTATCTAAGAGTATCGACCAAATAACTGCCAAGATATATATCGCAATATATGGTTGCCGACCACTGGTCTATTGCACCTACTATTGACAAACTTGTCGGATAAACGCAGTGCCATACTTCCCATTGAAATATCTATGTGTGGTTAAAACGTTTGACTTTACTGTATCTTTGTATTTCCATTGTTCTTATAATTTAGGTGTTTTGTTTGTTTTTTCATTGATCTGTAGTCGGTGTAGTGAAAACTAGAACATAACTACCATGTCAAGTGGCCCGCGCAATCATTCGTAAACTAAATGTGGCCTCTCATCCAAGAAGGTTGGACAACCCAGGGCTAGAGGATCCAATACATTCACTTTCAAATGATACCAGCTAAAGTATGTTAACGGGATTTTGTAACGAAAGCACAATGATGGTTTTATGCGCTATCCTTACCATGTATACTTTTTAATCAAATTCAATTTGGTTTCAGCTATATATTGGAGATAGAATTGTAGAAGAAAAAATCAGAAGAAAGAAAACTTAAAAATTCCAAACTTAAGAAGTTGAATGGTCTCATTCGCCTAATTGAAGAGAATAATTTCAAATGTCTTCGACACACATGGAACATACCAAACAATTAGCGTCTCAAGAGGTGGCGGGACCGCGGCCGACAAAAATACCTTTAAAATGACGTGTTCGGTTTAAGCCAAGAACGAAAGATTACGTATACTGTTCAGGGGTTTCAAGCATGTAATTAATATCAGAGTGATATTAGGACTCGAACATCAGTATTTGTTAATGTTATAATACGAAAGATCATTTACTTGAACATTACACAGTAATTGAAACCTTTTTGAAAATTCAAATTACGAACAAACAGATCTGAAGTCTCGTCCATTCTTGGCATTAGTCACATCTTCTACAATACATAATGTAGAGTACGAGTCAGCCCAAATTTATACGTTTTCTCGAAATTTCAAGTAACCCAGTAAACGAAATAAAGTCATTTCAAATGATGATATGAGTTTGCCCCTAATAACAGTGTCCAGTTGCAAAACAACAAGATCTTGGTAGATACGAGGTGACGTTGGTTTATACCGAATAAGATTCTCTCCTTTCTACGTTATATGAGGAAATCTACTCATGTAATTAAGAAAAGCATAATAGTCATCAAACCTGGCAAGGAAATTGGACGATTCAATGTTGTTACTCACATCTCTAACTCGAAGCATAGTTTGCCAATCCACTCCCCATCCTTGCGAGTGATAGAGAAAGTCCTTTGGTTATAAGTGTGCAAAACACGACAACACCGACGCTGTTATATTCTAAATCGAGCACGTCGCAGAATTTCTGCTTGCTTCTACTGGCGCAGAGCCCCTTAACTTAAAAAAAGATATATGGCAAAAATGAATTTGGAATAAGAGCATAAAACAGTTCAAATTGGGGATCGCCCTCAGGGCGGAATGAATCTTTTTTCTGTTTTCAGCCACAGCCACACGCCCGGTTTATCTTTAGAAGATCATTTTCCTAAACCCCAACAAATAATTTTTAATACTTATAGAGCACTATTTCAAATATTTAATTGAACGTAACTGGTATAGGATACAACAGTCAATATTAAAATACAGGTAAGAGATGGAAAAATGTGACCTGCGTGGAGTAATTTCTGTCACAGGTGCCACAAAGTTATTTTAGAATTAGCGAAGAAAAGAGTACAATAAATAAATTTGAAGCGAAAAATTGTTTCGTTGCGTGGTGTGACGTGTGAGGGAGACTTGCTTTTTACTTCCATTGATATCAGTCATTATTAACACCCTAAATAGTCGCATTGTTACAAACATGTTTTTTTTCCAAAATCAGCAGGTTACGGTATAGATATATATACAGTGGTGAGATTCAGCCGGTTCGCACCGGTTCTTTAGAACCGTCTCACGGAATTTTATGAGATCAGCGAACCGGTTAGCATTACTGATTACTGTCAATATTCTGGTTGTAATAGAACCGGCTGAAAAATATGACTTTTGTGAAGGAACCGGCTGACAAAAAAATTGAATCCCACCACTGTATATATATATATATATATAAATTGCAGGACCGCAATAAAATTTGCATCAATATTTGCTAATGAAACATAATTGAAACCATCCTGAACCAGTTTTTATCCAGATACAAAATGCAAAATTGCTATTTTCGCGCCATAATAAAAAAAAAAAACCAACATAGCTTTATTTATCGTCAAGGCACATTCACTGTACGGCCGTGGCCGTAGCTAACACCTGATATTTTTCAACTCGTATTTCATGCCAAATATTTTGGCGTGCTGGTTTAGAAGTCTTACAAATAGATATAAAATTAGAAGGTTATAATCACCACAAAACGCTCATAAATTCTGCGTATTTATCAAAAGTATGATGCAATCCCTCTGCTAGCTGTCAAATGTGTTATCCAGCGATGTTACATTCTATTTTTGGATCAACCGCATCTCTTGTATAAGATGGAATCTTAATAGACATGTGTCATGTATTATGAAAAACGATAATGTGGTATTAATGACACTTGGTCGAACAATGAGCCTTTGAAAGAGTAAACAGTGAAGCGTAAAAAAAACATAATGATAACAACTTTGGATCGACTAATATTCAAATTGCTAATTTAAAAAAGGTTAATCGATTATTCAAACAAACTTGAAACTTTAATAAAATCTTTTCAGCAATGGCCTAAAGCCATATCATCAGCTCGTTTCTTGCTTAAACGAAATTGACTCTAACCAGAGTTGAATCGAATTTATGAAACTTTGAGCATGGTTCTCCAAAGCACAAAGTTCGAGTTGAACACTCGTGATCCAGTCGAATTAAAGACGAGTCCAGAATTGGATGGTGAAATCCAGTATTATTACGCGACCGAACAAAATTAAAATGTAAATTGTTCATTATATTTCAAGTTGATTCACTGTAAGACGATGGGTGGAATTTTATTATTGGATAAATTACGCTAGTTAAGTTAGTTTTCACAGCCGGAGTTAAATAAATTGATGAATTTAGGACCTACTCTAAATACATGGATTACGAACATTACAAAAATATCAGATTATCACTGTTTTCATCTTCCATTGAAGTATAAAGCCGTGGCTCGAGATTTCATAGCCTGTTGCAACGAATTTAATGATAGACTCCGTCTTTTAACTAGTGGCCGATATATGAAAAATCTCACTCTTTCCAAGCTGACAATGAATAGTTTACTAATAAACTTTTCAATGTATTTGAAAAAAATAATTTTCGCAATTTTGGAGATCGATATTTTCTACGTAGGATAGGTAACTTGTATGAGATGATGACACTGAGGTATGTGTGATGACAAAAATATGTCGGGATAATGTCTAAAGAGATATATGTGAAGTGTTTCTAGGTTATGAAGAGTTGATGAATGTCACCCACACTAGTCAATGTGTCGAGCAAACCTTGATTGGCATAAAATAATCCGTACGAAAAAATGACTAATGAAAAAGAATGTCAGTGGAAAAGTGAGATAAGTGTGTTCTTACTATTTCGTTTATATACGAGCCCATTCTCTCTCACGTGTGCCTTGGGAATTGGAAGAGGGAACTAAACAACAGCCTTAATTAAACTCAATGTAAATTTCATCCAACATAGATACTCTCTTATTGGTTTAATTGCCAAGAAATAGCAATAGACTGCCATAAATTGCGCACTGTCGGTTATATATAGATAAACATAAAGTTTATTTACCTTATCAATTTCCTTTTTTAGTCGATTCCGTGATGTTCAACGTTACATATTGATGTTTATTTATTTTTTCAACGTGTGAAACCAGCATGTGTACCTGTTATAGTTTATTGTTTAATTCAACTGTATATGAACACACTTTCGTAAATCCAATAGTAGACATACAAACTAATTTGGATTACATCATATCCAATGATAAAATTTGAGTCATGTCGTCGTTTTTCGCGTCTTGTTTTTTCAATCGTACTGTTTTTATTTACCCCACTCAGTACTTGGCATGCGTCAACTATTCAATACCACTTGTTATTTTCTTTCAGTCGATTTGATGCGGCGAAAAATTACATCAGTCCCCACAAACAGAACGAACGCTACTTTGTTTACACGCCCGTGACGTCAAAGCGCTGCGAGAGAGTCCGCTCTTGAGCGGTTTGAGGTTGTTTTTATTCGAAATTACGCGTTATAGAAGATAATTGTTTATACGTGGGCCATATATATGTATATATATATACCTTTAACGTACATCTCAAACTACGTACATGTTCGTCATTGATTTATCTGAGAAGCTCAATTGAGTGCTTGGTTGCCTACTGAGTTCAACAAAGTACACCAAGCCGTAACTCCTAAAAATAACTTCAAATACCAGTTGGACATCGTGAGGCAGGGAGAGACAAACTGACTGGATAGCAAGTGTCTTACACGGAACAACTAAACATAAAATAGTTTCTCCAGAGCATTGCGCGAATGTTAGAAACCATAACGCAAATGTATACGATGGCTACCTTTATATTCGTTGTACTCACGTTTACATTAAGAATTCATTCTGCAATGTACGAACTCCGTCATCTGTAATTCACAGACTTTCACCAATTTTTATTGAGTTATTTTATCCCATTCCACTAAACTTCAACCGACATGCCAAATGTCAAGGAAATTCGCTTGCAGGCTTACTAGTATCTGCAATCACGAGCTAAGATAAATAACGTCTCGTCGTGCAGCTCAAATGCGAATTGCATTAATGATAACTCACTCGTATATTTTGGAATGAGAGTGACAATCAACAACCACGCAACTACTGGCAATAATAATTACGGAAGCAAAACAACCCATGAAATAGAACAATTTCCTCATTTACTGATTAACATTTTTAATTTAGCTAACTAAAGCATATGTGTTGAGGGGTTGTTGGAGGAACTGCTAATCTGTCATTCCACGTTTCTTTTATTGTTGGATTCTTATGTCCTATGTCACAAGGATGCTTGAACAAGATTAAGTTAAGAGTTTATAGAAGCAATAGGTCAGATATCTCATTCCACGTAATAATACAAGTTTTACTGAGCGTTTGCTAAAACATATTCTCTAGCTTCGTCAGGTATAGTGGTCTTATCCGGAATGAACAAGAAGTATATCAGTTTTCTAACAAAAAATAAAAGGTTTTTATCGGGCATTATAAGATTCCTAGAATTGGCGTGTGGTGGAATTTTATACCGAACTATACAGTCTACTCAACTGACCCATAGTTGTATCCGCTTTTGCGACAGAGTTACTGAAAAGTTGTCAATTATATGCCCTGGTGCGTTTCAGTATTGGGCTTGTGTCGGTATGTTTTCCTCATGTGGTCATAATTCTTACAATTAATTTAAGTTAACGGACCTCACGCTTGAAACAATTTCGTAGCGATCTGATACAAGAAAAGATCAATCTGTAAATCAATTTCTCCCGACTCTGAATTTGTTTTCGAGCAATTTCACAGCTGATTCAATTATCGAAAACCAGGGTTATTGTTAGTCGTTCCAAACTATGGTTGCCTGACAAAAGCGCAATTTGTCTTATTGATCAGAAGTCGTGGTAATGCTTACATCGAATAAGCAGGGTTCACATTAATTGCGTATATACAAATGGATAACAATAACGTTGCGCAATGAAATAATAATCGTGCGTCTAAAATAATACGCACCAAATAGACGTCAGAGAAATGAACCCGAAGCAATCGAATCTAACAGCACGTCAAACACAATGCAAGTTAATTGTTTGACGCATTCACATATACATGAGGCATACAGTCACTGTCAAAGTAGTTCCGAATCTGCCTTCTCCAACGCTCAGGTGACATTGGTGACTAACTTGCTAATATGTCGTTGGCCAAACTTACTAAGTTCTGTATTGTTTTGTTATTCTGTCACCGGAATTATTACAATTCAAGTCACGAATTGAATCAAATGTAAATTTATGTTAATTCAATGTAATACTAGAATCACGTTCACCATAGCGTATCATCAACAACGAACACATAATACTGTTCTTAGCATAGGTTAGAACAGGTTGTCCATATCTATAATGTGGAAGAGAAAAGCCAACAAGACGGCTTAATTAAGTGGCATACCACCCACAGCCTCTTCCATGTGGGATATGGAATTAGTTTCAGCCATCTATTCTTTTGCATGGACTTGATGGTGGAGGGAGTCGTAACCGACTAGCATTTACGTAAACCTCCCTTCGTCTAGTAATCCTCTCTCATAAAATGATCCCCCACGTGGTTTGAACACACGCATACAGAACAATGCTACGATGGGGTATTCCTAACTCTTATCTCGACCACCGGGCATTGCGAGGAGACACTTGTTAGAATTTGTCACCAAGCTGTAAGCAAAATACAATTTATATTTAAAATATTAAATTTTACCCTGCTTGGCAACATATTTTTCATGTCAGTTAAACTAATGGCCCACAACCGAGTTTGAAGTAGATGATCGTAAGTTGATGACCATACATTTAAACCCACGTACATTTGAACCCATACATTTGCACCCGTATATACGCGGGTTCAATCTATATGAGGGTGCTAAAATCCGTGGGTTAGGGTTAGTATGGCTTCAAATATCCGTAAAAAAATTCCATAGGTGCAATAGTATGCAGGTGCAATTGCCGTGGGTTCAAATGTACGTGGGTTCAAATGTAATGGAACCTCGTTTCGCTGTCGACGCCATATATTCTGTAAGTGTAAACCAATGGGAAGCAACGTCATTCATTGCATGACGCAGTGCATCCAGGTTTAGCAGTCCTACTGCAATTTTAATACTGTAGGGCTGTATTGTTTCCATGATCATTTTCATTGTCGTTTGGTGTAAAAGGATTTGTTGGCTAAAATTGTAAGGAAATCGTGACAAAACGCATAAAAGATTGTGTAACTTCACATTTACGAATGTATATGTATAGTTTACCCTCGTTCCTATTATGAATGGCGCCATTCACTAGCTTAAAATTGCAATTCATCAGTGTCACAACTAATTATAGCCAAAATAAACACTACTTTATATACAAGAAAAAATTCCGAAAGAAGGGTAACAGTTAAACAGTTTTATACATACCGGATATGCAACTAAAACTTTTGAAATTTCTTCCACTGGCCCATGTGTATCGGACGACATTGCAGGGGTCGGGAACCCTTTTGGCCAAGAGAGTCATAAAAGGTACATAATTCCAATTATATTTCCGTGCAGGCCACACAGCATTTTCCCTTCCCTAATCGGAATATTAGATTTTTCTGGGAGCCATATGCCGTCACCAAAAGAGCCATATATGGCTTACAAGCCAGGCCATCCATGGGTTTCCGACCACTGCATTATAGAAACATGTGTGGGACAGTAGGCGATACTAAATATTTTATGTGAATTTTTTGAAAATATTTTGCATATTGCGATATTTGATCCCACATTAGAATATGCATAATTCTGGATTTATTGCGTTCTTTGTTATATTTTGTGTAATAGTTCTCCGTGGTCTTTGGAAAGTTAAAATTGATCCATGAATTTTTTCAATAAAAAGAGATTCATGCAAGATTTGGAAACGTCCAACTTACAATAACTAAAGATCTATATTTGTGCCGCATTGATGTCGTCGCAATTTTTTTATTTTTATAATCATATACAATTTTGTATATACCTTCAAATGTATCCATTTTATTCGATCCGTAGACACATGAACTGGCCTGGCCCTACATAAGCCCTAATCATATTTACTTCCTCGACAATTGCGTTAAGAAATTCTTGTATAGAATATTGTTCGCCTCATTAATTTTCCATACGGGGGTGTTCAAAGCATTCCCCATTGCTAACCGTAGACGTCAATTCAGGGTTAGATAAACATATATTTTACCTGGATATGCATCAGTTATACAATTACAGAGCGACAGTTAATCTTCTGCTTCTTCTTAATCATTATGAACTTCACCGTAAAGAAGGTATGGCATTTACCTGTGCTTTGAAGTTGCCCATCTGATATATATTTCTTAATCAAATATATAAGTTTTGTATACAGATGAAATGATTCGTCGTCTACCAGCACTTTATTTAAAAGTCATTTACGGGGGTGCATACCATTATACCAGATTCATTATTTCCAGTAAATTTGGTCTAATTTACAAAATATCAATGTAAGTAATTTTAACAGCAACTATAAGTAGTTTAATAAAAAGAAGACAAAAATCGTTTAAGTAAATGACAATTTTGTCCTCTAAAAGAACTCATTGTATTTATACCACGCGTTGTGCCACATTTTCCACGTTTAAAATCTGTCACATCAATATATTTATATCAAATTAATGTATTTAGGCTTGGTGATGTTTTTAAGGCGTGAACTCCAAAATAAAAAAAATACACTAAGACTACCGCGAATTATTAGTTTTTGAATAGTAGGTGGAATTCACTGGAGTGATGAATGGCTTGCATCACCTCTCTTTGCCGCTGGATTAACCAAACGTAACCCTTTTATATTTAGCAGTTTTTGCATTTGACTAACGGGGATTCAAACAATTACTTTCTAAGCAAATATATTTTGCCATGGGCCATGGCTATGGGTTACTTCGGATTAACATCGATGATCTAACTAAAGTTTCAAAAATAGAAATAATAATATCCTTACCGCGTTGACAATCGGTTGAGTCACACCACACAAATATTGCTAAACTATATACTAATAACAATATGTAGGTGGTTTATTCATGTTCCATTTTAGCCCCCCCCTCCCCCCCAGGATACAAAAAGAGGAATAACAACCATTAACCATTAAAATGTTCCAAGTTACATAACCATCTCGTTTCGTATCATTAATTATATTCTTTATCCTAAAATTTCAAAAGGTAAACACTGGAATAGCTTCAATATACAATACACATATATATTAATTAATATTATTCTATCTACGGATTTGTTTCACTCGATGTTACGATTGCTTTTCATGTACTAGTCTGGTTTGTTCCACGTTTCAAGTAGATGAAACTGGAGTCATTCTACAAAATCAATTTTTCAATCTATATTTTGAATCACGCGGTGAAATCAATTTTGTTCCGCCCCAAAGCCGTAAAAACCTATGCATTATAACTTTATAACCCACTAAAACTTACCACCATTTTTCCTTCATCGGTAAACCTGTGCACTCACGTAACAACTTACGTAAAATTTGAGTGAGGAAAGTAAAAATAAAAGTGCAAGTCTCCAGAAAACAATTAATTGCGGACGCTGAGTATCCGGGAAGTAGAATATTTGATAATTTTTGCGTGTTTGGAAAGCACACCAGAGAAGGGGGCGGGGGAGAACATAGATTTGTTTTTGTCATATTTGCGAGACGCAGAAAAAAGACGAATTTCACAGTGGGACAAACACAAATGAAGCATTCTCGAAAAGAATTCCTTTCTAGATCTCACATCTAAATTGATATTGGTATTCAGAATTAAAACCACAAGTTAATTCAACGCAATTTATTAAGTGGTTAATCTATCATCCATATAAGCAATAGAGTGTAAGAAACAGAGAATGTCACGTGACTAATGAATGTCTACTTTTTACTGTGTTATCCGGTACTTATGAATTATTCACCGCGGTTACAGCGAAATATGCCAAATCGGAATTGTGACGTACATTTCGTGCAAATAATTCATGCCTTCACCCAGCTGATTTTAACAGAGAAACAAAAAAGGACGCAGCAGACACCGAAGGAAATAATTTTAGTACTCGGCCATCTTACTAACAAGATGATACGCATTGTTGAAATTGGTATACGGTTTGCATCAGGAAGAC